ATTCCTGTCCATCTGCTGCTGGGTCTTAATCTTTTATTTGGCAGATATCATTTATCATTGTGCAGTTCCATTCCAAAATATCATGTGGAGCAGCATCCTTACTGCAGTGGTTTTAATTTCATTAATAAACTCATCAGCTTCGGGATTATTCACTTTGAAAAGACATATTTTTCAGTCCTATTACACAAATTCATATGGGAATTATCAGTTTGACAGGCAGATTGCAATTACAAGGAAACACATTTACTGAGAGAGCTTGAATTTAGACCGAAAGTCAATCTCGGATCTCTGCTTCTTCCCACTTTCTAGTAATCAAACTGCTGTGGCCAGCTGGGCACCTGAGCTCGGGAAAACCAGAGCCAGCGGGGCTTGGTGAAAGCATATGGAGCTGCCAGAGCACTTGACAGACACTTCAGAGAAGAGAGGATGAAGTAAACTCACAGCAGGCAGGTATGCTTTAAAATGCTCTCCATCATTAGAAAAGAGAAATAGGTTTTAAATCTGGAAGCTGAAGATTTTTAGTTCCTTCGCAGAGCTTTTTTCCATTTTCTGTATAAACACAGGATCCCCTATGCAACCTAGATTCAAAATTTGACACAAGAGCCTGCAAATAAAATTTTAGGATCATGCTATCAGTCCCCGAAACAGTTCTAGAAACTGTTGTTTCTAGATAAATCAATTGTTAAAAAAAGTAATTAGGAAATTTACCAAAAATACCCGTTATTTCTTGTAAACTTTTCGGTTAATGTTAAAGCCACAGTGATTTAGAAACTGATACAATTCCAGAATCTCTCCAGTGCAGGCCATACACCACTTCCCAGGACACTGGGAGCTGGCACAGTTCAGATAAATATAGTGAGTTTGACAATGAATGGTGAAAGGCATCCAGGATACAGAGTTTATTTTATTTTAAGTCAAATGGGAGGGGGTGGGGAGAGAAAACTATCTCAAAAAGGAAAGATTCCAACTTTTCTCTGGTATTTTTTATTAAATGAAACTTTGCATTTTACTAACTACAAACTTGTTACTTTATTTTCTACTTTTTATAATGCAGTGCTTTATTTTAGTCCCCAGACCTTCCAAAGTCAACCCTTTTTAAAGCCACATTTGCATACGTAGTAGTCCTAAGAATTTCTGTAGTTAAGAACTTTCCTCCTCTTATAATAAAAGCTTTCATATTGTTCCCCTTGGGTAAAAGACTTGCTTTCATATTTCACACTGTTTCACTCTTTTACATATTTAGTCTCTCCTGTAGAAAAATGAGGCAAAGACCACCGTCGTTACGAGCCCTACCCCCTCAAACGACAGAGCAAGGTTAAGGGCACTCAAACCTCTGCCACTCTGATGAAGATCTGACCCACATAGGTCAAATACTTCTGTTTTCTTTAAGTTACCGGGGACCTCAAAAAAAGAAATGTTGCAGGAGTATCTGTGCAACAGAAAAACAGATTTGAAAAGGAAAAAGGATCCAAGGCTACACTTCCTTCAGTTACTACACCCTTGAATGGTGAGGAAATTAAATGATTTTAGCCAACTACACGGACTTCTTTAGAATGATCTTATTAAGTATACGAACATGTCCTTAATTGGTTTATCAAATTAGCAAGTTTCAGCAGCTTTAAAATTCAAAAGGCACTGTGTGTCACCCAAGTTAATATACAGCAGACTCTAAACGAGTCTGTTATTAAACAAGAAGAGGGAGGGAGTTCGCCCTCTGTTAAGGGACACGATCTAAAACCTGGGGAAGTGATGGATAGTGGGTTTACCACGGGGGTGAACTCTGGAACAATTTCATGCTGTCTATGCACACTGCAACGCTCCTCACGGCATTATTTTAAATAGAGGTACATATATAGCTTCTACGTAAAAAACATTGACACGCTGATGTCAGCGAAATTTCCTGTGCTGGGAAGGCAAGTATTAAAGATATGCTTTGTGCTTGTGCTGACAAATTACTTAAGCGTAAGGATAGTATCAGGCAAAGGTAAATTGCTTGCTTCATTAAGACCGGATTAAATTTAAACTTAAACCAGGAAGGATGAGACAAACCAGAGATGGAAACACTGCTGGATGGTTGTTCTAACACCACATTCCAATAACATGCAAAGGGTTATAGAAATTAAAGTAGTCATACACACCACAACACTTCCTCAGCCATTCCATATGGTACCAGTCAGCAATAACCTTTTAATAAAGCAACTTTACTCACTGAAGCTTGGGAGAAAGGAGAGAAATGGAAGGCAAGGCTCCCCCATGTTCTCACTTTCCACCTCCTGCTCTTAGAAATGTTAAAATTTCTAAAAGAACCATTTACCTAGTGCTTTCAAGGTTACTGTGGCATTGGTTTTTCCAAAAGGGTTTTCTGCTTGGCATGTGAATTCTCCAGAATCATTAACTCCCACTGAACGGATGTTCAATGTTAATTTCCTTTCGTATCCATAATCACCCAAATTTCTGCTTTTGCTTGTAACAATCTGTCGGTAAAAAACAATTAACATCTAAAACACTGTGTATGCAGCATCTTTCCTAGATAAATTAAAAATAGAAGTAATTATAACTTTGCTATATTAATATTCATAACTTTAAACCGGAATAATAAGCCAGCATGACAAACCTGTCACTAGAATCTCTCCATGCAAAACAAGTGTGTGATCAGCTGTCTTTGGGAGATAATGTCCTCTTGTAAGTCCTATCCCCTCCCCTTATTCTTTATTTTTTTCCTCCTCAAGCTCCACTGGTGGGTGGGTGTGGGTGGGTGGGTGTGGGTGTGTGTTTTCACCTGCCCTGAGGGAGCCCAGTGGGAGAGATCAGCCCTAGCCACAAAGCTGAAACTCTAATTTCTTCAAATATTTCAATCATATGGAGAAAAGGGTGTTGTGCCCAAGGTCAGACCCAGCTCACTCTGGCTAAATTTCTAATGCTGATGAAGGTGAGGAACCAACAGAAGGTTTTATTTGCAGTAACAATGCTTCTAGCTGTAGGGCTTGATGCAAAATGAACACTGGGTCTTGACTTTCCTAATGCCCAGAAGCTGCAACTGTTGTAAAAAGTCATTGCAACTCTGAAGTGTGGTTCACCACTCAAGGGGTGCCTAAAAATCACTGAACTCTCTAATGGTTGCAATGCTTCCCAGTGAATGACAAGAGAGAATTTAAGGTGCTGGAGCTTCATTTTAAACTGGGTCACTCTATGCCCCGAGTCCATGGCATCTCCTCACTGCAGACATACTGCAGAGAGACCTGCTCATGGCACACTTTGCATGGCATCCTTGCTCTGGAACCCGCTCTGCTTCTTGGTCCATAGCAATCCAGATTTATTAATCTTACAGGCAACTGGAAAATTCATTTTCTTTCCAAAGCACTGAGTATATCATGACTCTATGCCCATGTATGCATGCTGGAACTAAAGAAAAAACAAATGCTTTGAGGTGTTGACTTTAGTTTCTGTGAAAATGCTCGGTGTGGTTGGAAAGACTGATAAATTTACATCGATTAATCCAAATGCAGACCTGGACTTGTGATTTTCTAGTAGAATGATTTCAATTTTTGGAGGTGCCAAGAGGTTCTAGATAAATTTAATCTTCTCAATGCATTGTTGGCTCCTCCTGAATTATAATAATCACAAACAGCAGTTTGGTTCGTATGGATGTGATTGCTTATAACAAGTCTCCTAATTTTCAAAAGCCGTGATAACTTCAGTCATACAAGGGAAGTGGTTTTGGTTTTTTTTTTTCCTTCAACCTGTTCAGGGCAAAACGTAATTCTGCATCTATATAAACATGAATTTTATGTATTCTGTCTCAGTACAAAATTTAATTTGATAGTCATTATTTAAAAGATAGCATCCCATGCTATTTACCAGGAAGGACAGAAAGGTCAAACTTATTTGGTCAAAAATATTTTCATCGTGGCTTTTACTTGTAAAATGAAAAGTGATAAAGCACAAAGACTTAAGGGAAGACCCTGATTTCATCATACTGTAACAAACAAAAGGAGGGGGATGATAGAAGAGATGAAGTTCTCAGATGAACGACTTGTAGTTGACGTCAGCACAGGAGACCAAAAGCCTTATCTGCATGTCCCATGCCTCCTTCATGTCATTTAGACGTCCTGAACCCTCAGAGCTGCGAGGTGGGATTTCTTGAGCAGCGAGCACTTAGTGGAAGCAGCTCTGCCAGAGCCAGCATATTAGCTAAGCATGGCATACCCAGCCTCCTGTTCACTATCTGCCCGAGGAGATGTGATTTATCCAAATATCACAGCATCACAAAAGCCTTTTTTCCATACATACGTGGACTGCGAATTACGTATTCTGATCACTACCATTAGCAGTAAAAGACCAGCCAATTAGCATGGGAATATATAAGGCAGGAGTTACTAACAGGTCTTCACAAGGGCTTTTAATTCATTTAAATTTCAGGGTATACCCAGAAGACCAAGAAGTGTCCTTAAAAACAACCCAGTGCCTGCTGCTCGTTTCAAAGGCAGAGCTGGCCACACACTGGCTGACCAGGGGAGAGGATCTCTCTGCTCCTCATCTGCAGAATAGCTGCGCTGCCAGTAACGAACTCTCCTGGAGCATTTAACCTGCCAATAATTTAATTTGGTGATGCCAGGCAGTAACTTCATCTATCACCATAGACAGAAGCCAGTTCACTGGTTCATTTTTCAGAAGTTTCCCAGTTAGTGAGGCACACCATGTAATTTAAATGAATTAATCATTCCTGTGAATGCTTACTACTATTCCTGTCACGTACAATCCCATGCTAATTAGCAGGTATTTTACTGTTAATGATAACGACTAGAATATGTAATTTGCAGTCCATGTGTTGATACTTGCAGCTCCCATTGATTGCAACGTGATGTGTAGGCACTCTGTGCTTCCGTATTTAGGCAGCCCAACAGAGGTCACCTAAACTTCACATTGAAGAGCCTAACTTTAATTTCTGTTTGGGAAGAGAAGCCTGTGCGGATGCTTTTCCTCCCAGCCGTCTACATGCGCACAGGACAGGTGTTGCTGGCCCCTCACCAGTCTGTAGGATGCAGGACCTTTGGAAATGCAACAAATCCAAACCGATACAGCATCAGGTATCCAAGACAAGCAAGCGAAAGTCTACAGAGGGTTTGTGTACTGTGCTGAGGCATACATGATACAATTAAAGAAACTCACCCCACTTTTCTGAGAAATCCAACTAGCTTGTACGCTGCTATCCACATCCGTGATTATGCATGTAACTTCAAATTCTTCCCCTTCTTTGAGAAGCTCATAGCTTTTGGATAAGGTGATGACAGGAAGAGTTTTGTGAACTGGAAAACAATTTAGAAGTGCATTACTTTTCATTAGCTTCAGAGCTTCAAAGGGGGGATAAAAATCAACAGTCATTAACTTTGCAATAAAATGTCAGGCCTCCAAGAAGTATTCAAATTTTTTCAATGTATTACACAGTCATTCCTTTACAACAAGCATATTTCTGCTTCAGTCTCCCTTCAAATCACACTGGAAGTCAGATAATATTTGTTAGAGCTTAGCAACTTGCATGAAGAAACTTGAACGATGTTGAACTGTCGATGAGATGATTCATTCTACGACAGCAATTAAAAAGTTGCACTCTATAACTGAAAACAGAGAGGATCAGCCATTGAAGAACCGCAGCCTCGCATTAACTGCAACTTTTAATTACATATTACTACAGCTGATGCAAAGTACTGTCTGATAGATCCCTGAAAAGCCCCTGAGGACAGCCTAGGAAGGACAGGTACAGCTCAAGGACTTCAGCACACCCACCTCTGAAAGCACCACAACCTCTGCTCACGGTGAGGGTTCACAGAGGTGGCTGGAGCCAAGACTGTGGACAAGTTTGCCACCCAAGAGATAGGTGGTTGCAAGCAGCCATGGGCTAGCTGTACCACTGTTCTGCTTTGGGGTGTCTTTTGTCAACAGTCAAGTGTATTTGAGGACTATGTGTCTCTTATCTCCACAAAGCTCTTCAGCTCTTCCTCTGTTCCCTCCACAGTTTGTTTTTCTGTTTTCTTCATCCTTTCTTCAGATTTTCCTCATTTATGAGACTCCAGTGAACTTCCCACTAGGGTTTTTATGCAGGAAGACTCACTTTCAAACCATGAATGCAACATGTATCAGATAAGGCCTTCCAGACTCTCTTCCTGCCTCTGACACAGGCTTTGTAGTTGTGTTAGGCAAATTATATGAAACTTAGGAAAATGCCATGCTTTGCAGCCATTCATACTTTAACAATAATGTTTTCCTCATGTTCTACAGAAGAGAACAAAGAAACACATTTGGTCTCTTCAGATATAAAGGCTCACATAAAAATCCCGCCCCAGCATTCAGCAGCACCCAAGAGACGAGGAGGAAGCCGGTGCAGAAGGCGTGCTGTGTTCTCACCTGCCAGCAACATCTACGGACAACCAAAAAAAATCCTTAAGGCCATAAAGCCCCTCATTGTTTGGAGAAGGGCTGAACATAAACACCGCTGTCATAGCAGGGCTGGTGTATGTCTGAGTATGCCTGCACAGCTCCCTGTTTCATGGATGCCTCTTCTGTCTTTCTGCACCAGAAGCTCAAGCCTAGGGGTCTGCACGCCAGTTGTGATTAAAACAACAGTGCCCACCAAAGGGTCTCCAACACAAACTTAAGTCTTCAGCCAAGGAGAAGGTAGGAGTTTTACCTGGTGAACTTCACAAGGATTGAACACTACAGAACAGTAATTACAACACTGAGGATGACAATGCTGCTTTACTGCTGACGGCCTTCAGCAGATGCTTCCACTTACTGCACGCTTTCCCCCAGACAAAGAATGTAGGCAGAGCACCCAGGTCCCGCAGGCCACCTATGGCTACCCACCATCAGTGGGCCGCCGGGGATAGAGGCCAAGTCAGCACCCTCCCGCCGCCCCCCTAGGGCTCCCCACCATCAGTGGGCCGCCGGTGATAGAGGCCAAGTCAGCACCCTCCCATCAGAAGTCACCACTGTACTGAGCAAGTACAAATTTTTATCCTGTAAAAAAATGAAATAGTCCAATTCTACAACTTGCACTCTCTTATGTCAGAGAAATGCCAGCTATGTCAAACAACTGCTTGCTTTCTTTGGCCATCACTGAAAAAACAGTTGAAAAAAAAACCTTGTTACAGAACGAGCAACAGAGACAGCAAGAACAGACTTCATTTTTGTTGTCAAAGGAGAATGCCAGAGATGCCTGTACCGATTAAACTTTTGTTCTCTTCTCATTAATTGAAATTTAGTATTCATTAAATTTTGCCACAGCAAACTGCACACTTGAGATGGCCTCCGCTGCCCACCCCATGCCCCACCACCGAGGAGCATGGCACCAGGCAGGTCACACAGCCCCAGCCGTGGAGCAAACACCAAGGTGTCCCCTCATCACACCACAGGGCAGCCCTCCTTCACCAGCACTAGGGGGGATGCTGGTGCGGGCCCGGCCTCAGCTCCTAACGCCTGGCACAAAACGGGCAGTGGGGGGGAAGCACACCAGCCTGCTGGCCTGAGCTGTGCACCCCCTCCTCCAGCAGCAGCCTCGGCAGCACCGACGGCACGGCATCGCTGATGGACGGATGCCTCTGAAAGCACAAAGACAACCAACGCAGCCCCAGCCACCGTTCTCCTTTCAACAACAAAAAAACCCAACGGGACACCTCGGCCGCGTGAGCAGAAATGCACTTGCAGCCAACAGAAGCTCCCGGTGCACAGCCTACACGTGTGCACAAACAGGGGATGCTCCCTCCCCAGACCTGGCTGCAGCCTTTGCACTGCACACACGCCTTAGCGGAGACACACTCTCAGCTGCAGCAAGGGGTTACTTCATTCAAAGAGCCTCAGAGCGGAGAATAAACTCATTTACTTGCCCCTGAGGAAACACTGAGCCAGCTTGGCTTGCTGAACCACTCCCTCCCCTTCTCTCCTGGGTATTTACACTGTGGATTAATGACACACACGGTAACCGTAGGCTCTGAACTGCCCCGACAAAAGCAGTCTGTAATGTACTGCAGAGCCAAGCATTGGGCTTCTCCTCCTTTCTAAACCCACTTAACCACCCAACCCTAGGGCACAAAGGCACATGAAGGCCAAAGGTAGGGCGTCATCAACAGGTCTGCAAAGCTTAGTGGTGTATCTGGCAGCTCAGCCACAACGCACTCATCATGATCTGGGCTTATGGTTGCTGTTGTGACCATCCTCACTCTTGAAGACAGAGACAAACAAAGGCCCTCTGCTCCCCCAAGTTCTGCCTCTCCACTGAATCCCTCTTCTTCAATGCCATCAATCAATTCCTCCTGCTGTCACTTGTGGGTCTCAGACTTGTGAATCAGGCGCTCAAATCTCCACCTTGCCTGCATAAACCTGTCCAAACCTTAGGGCACTGGTTTGTCCTCAAAGTTTAACAGCACAACCCACATTTAGAATGGTGAAAAAACACCTGGAAATCACCAGGAACAGAAAATAAAAGTGATCATGGCCAAACCTGCTCAGCACAGCCACAAGCCAAATGTCACAAGATCAACCTGTGCCCCCACACAACTTGCCCAGAACAAGCTTTCTAAGCCCACCACCTTCCTCTGGACTGCCTGCAGCAGTCACAGGCGCCACAGAGCAATCTCCTGGTGCACAAGCACATCTGGCTTTGAGTAGGAGAAGACTCCGAAAGCCTCCAGAGGAGACCGCCACCTCCAGCCTCCCCATGGCAAGATCAAGACAGAAGGTGAGGCTTCACAGCACTTCCCACCAGCTCCTGGGAGATAAAGGTGAAAATCAGGTGCTCTACAAGAAGGTGAAAATCCTGTGTTACCTGGCCTCACATTCAGGAAAATGTGCTCCGATATTTTCTCAACTCCGTTGTGCTTGGCCAAGCACTGGTAGCACCCCTTAAATGACCTCTGTACGTTCTTTATAATGATGCCTTTCTGGGGATTGGGAATGAATGTCATATTTTTGGGGAGAGGTTTGCCATCGCATTTTCTCAGTGTGAAATTTGAAACATCTGGATCTGTTAGTGGGCACACTAGCAGGATGTCACTGTCTTCTTTTCCATAGATGAGAGAATCAACAAGGAAGAGCACGTTTGGATCTGTGAAGAAATGCAAAGACCTGTCAGAGAAGCTGACATTGCACAGGGAACTTCTGATGATCCTAACTCTGCAACTGGGCACTAACATCAAAGAAAGTTTTACATTCAGCCAGTAAAACCAAGTATTACCCAATTCATGTTTACCAAGAGACATTAAGTTTTGTCTTAAAAGAGCCACACAACAGGAGATATGCAGAGCATTAAATACCAGATACACTAAAGAATCATGTGCACTAAAAATAATCTTACTTTTTATTTGGAGAAGGATATCTTTTTTTGCCTTGTTTAGCTCCAAAACCTCCACCCTCCACCCTCAACAACAGTAAACAGATTTTCACAGACCATTAAAAGTAATTTGCTTTTAGCTAGTGGCAGGGCTGTAAGCTTTCATGCCCACAGGAGGATTCTGAAGAAATTTATGAGCAAATGGAAGTTGAAAAGCACCTAAATTATGGTTTTCACTTCTGTAAAATACATAATCTAGATGAACACACATTGCTACCAGAGGAAGCACCAAACAACTTCCCTCTCTCTCTCCTCTCCCTGAACACAGGGGTTATTTTTAGCCTCCTTAGAAAAAAATGGGCATAGGTAACTTTTCTAAAGTATTTCATCTCACAGCACACAAACATACAGTACTTTAAACACTTTTACAACCAAAGTTGAAGCCCATGATAGCTGATGACCTTGAAGACTAAGAACCTCACCATTAATAGTGAACACAAAAATAAAGGATGGTGTGGTGACACTCCATAAAAGCTTATTTCAGCTCCCATGTGCCCTCCCTACAGAGCAGCATGAATCAGAAATATAGAAACAGAGGGAAAAGTTTTCTTTCTTTTTTGCAAACTGGCTTCGTACAACTTGAATGATTAGAGATCAACAAACCATGACTTAACAAGGAAGACTGAGAGAATTTGGTTAAGATGATAGACAATGTGAATTTGGTTTAAGACAAGTACCAGGCTTAAAATGAAGCACGGGACATTTACATAAGCAATTAGGAAATGCTAAGTTGAAGGCTGCTCATTACTGAACAGAGAAGCTACTGGCTGGTTTCTAGCTTAGAGTGAGGGTGTAGTTTTAACCCCATTTGATATTGCTGTCCAAGAAGTCCCCACAAACTAAAAGCTTTGAAGCATCAATCTAGAACTATAGGATGGAGACTACTAACAAATGAAAAAGTAAAGGATGTCTGAACAGAAGCAAAGTGTGATGTTTTGCACATGGAGATACTTAGAGAAATCCTATGAATAACTGTCACTGATGAGCTGGAAGAGCATGGACTAGAAGAGCTCATCTAGATGTCCCTGCTGACAGAGACTTAACTAATTGGTTTCCTCTCAATCCATTTTTCTCCAATATGGACAGAGACAAGGTATCTTCACTATACAGAAAGTATGGCTCCCCAGGAAAAAAAGGACGTTTTTGAAAACAGAAGAGAAGAACAAAGACCTGTTTCACTAACAGCTGAAATTGCAGGGAAGGCCTTGACTGGGGTAAGCAGAATTGCTGAGATGCTCCCCTCCCATCTTCCATCCCCCTCTGGAAGGGAGACATCATGGTGAGAAGACATGAAAGGATTTGCTGTAGGGAATCCAGGCACAAACAAGGCTGCTCATGGTCATGTTCTTCCCTTCACAGCTTTCCACCCCAGGTACAACTTGGGTAGCACTTGCTTTCTGGGCATACCTCAGGTTTCCAACACATGATGAGGTGGTGCTTATCATTGCTTGCATCTGAAAAGACTTGAGATCAAAATCAAGAGATTTTTCTCTTACGTACGTGCCTGAACTAGCTTGATCTTCACTAAACTTCCTTGGATAGGGACACAAACTGCTTCTGTAGACCCAACACAGGCACTTTCTGCCAAAGCAGAAAGGTGAAAGAGGTAAGCGCCTACAGCCAGTCAACACTGTGTCATCCTTGGTCACAGAAGCATAGAAAATTTGGTTTTAGTAGATCCAGATGGATGTAAGAGACAAACAGCTGCCACCATTTTATGTGCCACTTGGGACTGGGCAGGATCGAGGTTCTTGGTCCTGTTCTCTCTTCATTCCCAGCTTTACAAGCAGTAAGTGCATGGGGTGCTTGTGGCAACCCCACAAGCAGCTGAGTTCATGCTAGCATCTTCAAGGTGATGTAAGATGTCATTAAATCACAGCCTATTGCAAAATGATGGCCAACCTCACAAATAATACTTATTTTACTGCCAGGAACTTGTCAAAGTGAAGCTTGCACATTTTTCACACAATTAAGACAAAGAAATTAACAACATGTTGCATGAGGGCCACACAACTTCTCTGACGCTTTGATAATCATGCTCCGTGGGAAGGTTGCCTGCTATCCTGAGGTGAAGCAGTCACTCGCATAATGGAAGGCACAAACATCTCTATGATCACAGCTGTCTGGGATAATTACCACGACCTCCAGGAAAACAGTCATGGTAGATAAAGTCAACAATGTTTGTCACATATAGATAAAATACATGCCAGATTTCCTTTAGTCATATTCTCAGAGAAACACAAGTCAAGAAAACTCATCCATGGTAGCTGTACGGCTATTTGGACAACTCAGGAGCAGTTAAAGGAGCACTCTTTAAATTGCGTGGCCACTATGTCAGATATCTTCCCTTGGGAAAAGACTCTCTGCTATGATGTGCTGCTATCTCCTTGTCTTGGAGAACAACCTTGCAGTAATTCTCAAAGGATTAGCAGGGTTCAGAGGAGGGTCTTTGAGGCAACCCCTGTTGGACAAGGAATGCTGTCTCCAACAAAGTGGATGCTGTAGGACTTTTTTCCATCACAGGGAAGAAAGACCACCAGAACTATGTGAAGGAGAAGCAAAATAACTGTCTTCCTTGGAAAGGAAAAGGGAATGCCATGCATGGTAAACTGTCAGCTTGAGGGCAGCTGATGAAGCCACAGATCAGGAGCCAACAAAAGAAGAGAAGAAATCTGAAGAAAACACTGGACAAAGAAGAAAAGTAATAAAGGATTTGGAAATGTGTCAGAGCAGAGGCACTTTTTTCCCATCTGAGACATTTCTGATCAGCCACAATGTAGATCAGAAGCTGGAGGCAGAGCAATCATTGGTGCCTGCTGGCTTAAGCCTGAGAGCACGGCCTCAAAAAGCCAAATCCTTTAGCTAACTGCCTCAATAAATCAAGAGCTTGGGGCCAAACCTTACATGACTCCATACTGATGGATGGCATGGAATTAAAAAGACATTTCTACATACTGCTTGCTTCCTCACAGTACAACTGACTCATACAACTGATTCAGGTCACTTGACTAGCTTCTAGAAAGAGAGCTCAGGTATATTTCACCACAAAACAACAGGGATGTAAAGAGAAAGTCATCCAGAACTTTGCTCTGGTGACAAAGGCCATTACAAGCAAAGCTGAGAGTGAGTTTTCTTTCTACTGGACAGGGAAGACGATTTCTTCTATCAGACTGTGTTCTCCCTCTGTACCTCAAATTCATTCCCTCCCCCAGCATTTACTGTCCTATTATTTTGTGAGTGGGAAGGTGGGGGAGGAAAGCAAAAATAATGCCTTCATTGATATTTACCTTTAACAAAAACATAAAAAGAGGTGACAATACTCCCTTTGCTTTTGCATATGTATCTGCCTATGTCTCTGACTGTTGCATTTTTGGTGTACCACTCTTTCTCATTGGAACTCCTTGCTTTTGCTGATGGGTCCGAATTCTGGAAATTCCAAGTCACGGGTCCATCCTTGTTGCACTTCAGCCTTAATTCCTCCCCTTTATTCACAACCAGTGAAGATTCTTCATGGGGCAGTGAACGACCTGGAAAAAATAAGCACAAGATACAATGCCTGTCAATACAACGCTCTCTTTTTTTGCTGCAGCAAAATTGTTATTTATAGTTGTATATGTGCAGTTAATATTTCAGGAGTTATTTCTTAAAAATACTAAGCTGCAATGGCACTGTGGAATTCTACAGACACCTTTTGGCTTATAAGACCTTTGGCACACAGAGCAAATAACCACTGCAGGTGGAAACTGGCCTTTAAAAAAACATTTGAAACTAGTTTCAGATGCACCAGTTTCTGCGATGGTTCGGCTTTTGAATGGGAACAGACCCAAGCTATTTAAAAATTAAATTCAAGAACATATGAGCCTGATTTTACATGGCAGCACTTTTAATCGTTCTTTGTCATTTACTCAGTATGTTGCCAAGAACTGAAGTTTCCTTGCTCAACAGTTATCTTTTTTTAACTGCTCTCTCATGCATTCAGAAGCTCCACTCACACTCTTACATTTTAAGTGTCCAGTTTAATGAAGGCATCAGTAGATGTTTTCCATACTTATTTCTTTAGCTGAAGTGCTAATTCATCGTCTCTTACCTCCACAAAAATTTTATGCAAAATACTCTTCAAGCTTCCCAACACGACCAGATTATTTTTACTGAGGTACCAATCTCCTAGTCACCAAAGCTGCTCTAAATGACCTCTTAGCTTCTCTTTCACTGAACGTGCCGTAACACAACTTTTAAAGAGTTCTCAGAAAATAAAGCTATGTAAAATTAGCAGCCTCAGTTCATAATTCCCAATTACCTTCCACCTTAAACTGTGTATTGGAGAAAGAAGCACACTGAGGCTTCTCTGGCTCCACTGTTAAGATAAGTCAAGTAGGGGGTTGCTGAGTTAGCACACCCCTGATGTGAAAGTCTTAGTGAACCTACAAAAGGGGAGTTCATAAATGAAAATGCATATAAATTCTCACTACTGTGGACCTACTTGAACATCAGAAGAACATATTCAAATATTGAGGTGGTCTTGCAGGAACAAACCCTTCCCCTTTCAGAGTAGTTCTTTAGTCCTACAAGTAATCCTTAGCTTACAATAACTGTGCTGCTAGTTAATGTCCCTCTCATGTGAAGCACAGTTGTACAAGATTGTACAACATCCATATGTAGTAGCAGAGTCATGCCACTGAAAATACTACTTGCATGCAAAAACACACTCTGTGGCTTCTTTCAGAGCCGAATTTCCCTGCCCACACAGATAACAACAGACGTTCAAGCAAAACAATCGGATAATCAGTTGGAATGAGATTATATACTCCAGACTTAATTCACTCATCTCACAGCTTTAGTTGTTCTTAAGGTATATACTGGATTAAGACCAGGTCAGGTAACTGCTCCTCTTCCTGACAAATCCACCACAGAGTAGGAAGCAAAGGATGGTCAGACCACCTGCAGAGTCTAATTACTTGGTTTGTGGGCTGGGTTTTGGAGGGAGCACTTGTTCTCCCCGCATCTCCCTCGGATTAAAATTTATTTATCAGTGCTAAACCCAACTGGAAGTCATTTTTCCAGCACCCCCAGAAATTTTCCACATGAAGTCCAGTAACCCTGCAGATACGCTTCTGTGACTGAATGCATAAACAGCCATCCTAGAAATAATAATTGCCAGAAAAAGGCAGGAAAAAACCCACTTTTAATTTCAAATCTGCTACCTCAAAGTGCAGGTGTGAGCCCGAGCCGTGACACAGCAGCTCGACCGAGGAGAGCAAGGTCTCAGGAGCACAGGTCCCAGCCAGCAGTGGCTCTGCAGACAGGAGAGCTGGAAAAACCCTTTGCCAGGGACAGAGGGGGGCCTGACAGCGGCGTAAAGAGAGGCAAGGAGACCTCTGATTTGCAAACCCCTCAGATCAGAGAAAGCAACTTCCAGCACCTAAGAAGGCAGAGGGCAAAGACCTCTGAGAAAGTCTCCTGAAAGACCATGCAGATCCTTCACGGGGATGTCTTTGGAAGACTTCTCTGCTGCCTCCCACAGGCCACAGGGTGCTTCAAGCAACAAACGACACGAGCTGCACAAAACAGCAAACGTGGAATGCTCTACCCCCACTATGGCGCGAGGTCCTCAGATGAGTCAGGGAAGGCTGGGAAAGGAGATCGGGACATCCTTCACTGGCATCACTCCCGGCCTGCAGCCAACAAGGTCTTAGCCTGGGCCCTGCCAGGGGAGGTGCGCATGTGGCCGGGCTGGGACAGCCCCTGCTGCCCCACCACTGAGGAGCATGGCATGGGGCAGGTCATACGGCACCGGGCAGGTCACACGGCACCGGGCAGGTCACACAGCCCCAGCCGTGGAGCAAACACCAAGGTGTCCCCTCATCACACCACAGGGCAGCCCTCCTTCACCAGCACTAGGGGGGATGCTGGTGCGGGCCCGGCCTCAGCTCCTAACGCCCAAAACGGGCAACCAACGCAGCCCCAGCCACCGTTCTCCTTTCAACAACAAAAAAACCCAACGGGACACCTCGGCCGCGTGAGCAGAAATGCACTTGCAGCCAACAGAAGCTCCCGGTGCACAGCCTACACGTGTGCACAAACAGGGGATGCTCCCTCCCCAGACCTGGCTGCAGCCTTTGCACTGCACACACGCCTTAGCGGAGACACACTCTCAGCTGCAGCAAGGGGTTACTTCATTCAAAGAGCCTCAGAGCGGAGAATAAACTCATTTACTTGCCCCTGAGGAAACACTGAGCCAGCTTGGCTTGCTGAACCACTCCCTCCCCTTCTCTCCTGGGTATTTACACTGTGGATTAATGACACACACGGTAACCGTAGGCTCTGAACTGCCCCGACAAAAGCAGTCTGTAATGTACTGCAGAGCCAAGCATTGGGCTTCTCCTCCTTTCTAAACCCACTTAACCACCCAACCCTAGGGCACAAAGGCACATGAAGGCCAAAGGTAGGGCGTCATCTACAGGTCTGCAGAGGAAAGGAACAGATCGGAGGTAGCAGTGCATAGATTAATGTCATAACTGACCTACTACATGGGTGCGGATCTGTCAAACCATACACATCGCTGCGGTATGTGCAAATCCTGATGGGTGCTGCAGCAACAAACCCTTCCTCTGTTGACGACTGGCTCTTTAGTCCTACAAATAACCATTGCCCAATGGCCCTCTAATTCACAGCACAGTATTACGCAGTTGGACTGGATGTATAATAGCCATTCCTGAGCCGGGGGGGAACATTTCTCAAAAACCAACACCACTTGCATGCAAAAACACACTCTGCGCTTTCTTTCAGAGGCTGAATTTCCCTACCCACACAGATAACAACAAACCTTCAAGCGAAACAATCAGATAATTAGTTGGAATGAGGTTATATACTCTAGACTTAATTCTCTCATCTCACAGCTTTAGTTGTTCTTAAGGTATATACTGGATTAAGACCAGGTCAGGTATCTGCTCCTCTTCCTGATAAATCCATCAGAGTAGGAAGCAAAGGATGGTCAGACCACCTGCAGAGTCTAATTACTTGGTTTGTGGGCTGGGTTTTGGAGGGAGCCCTCGTTCTCTCCCCATCTCCCTCGGATTAAAATTTATTTATCAGTGTCAAACCCAACAGGCAGTCCACCAGCGCCTGTTTTTCCAGTGCCACTAGAAATTTTCCACATGAGTTCCACTAATCCTCTACACAAACTCACGTCATTGAACATATAAACAAGCAATCTAGCAATAATAATTGCCAGAAAGATTAAGAAAAACATAATTTCTATTTTTATGCAAAGTTTGTGAGTTTTACCTACTCTTTCCCCTAGGACTCATCATACCCATTCAGGTTAGGAGTTCAAAATTTTGTTAACACTTCTTATCAGAACTATCTCGCAAGTTGGTGGAAAGTTTTTAAAGGTGGTAAACAAGACAGCAGAGCATGACTCCATCCAGAGGCACAAGAAATACGTTACGTACCGGAGCTGGGGAAAGAAAGGCGTAGAGGGAACAAGCACACTGTGGCACTCCACAACAAAAGCCACGATATTCCAGTTGAAACCACCACTCATATTTCAAGACAATCTTATTATGGTTCCTTTACACAGCCTACAAATTATCAGCAAAACAGTTTACAAATTGGGTTAATGTCTTGCGCAAAGGATTCCCACAATCTGAAGTTTTTTTCTGCTGCCTTCTGAAAACAACATGTCTTCAAGAAAAGTATGGCAGTGTAAGAACAGGTTGTAAATGCAAGAACTATCAGATATGCTTAGTGTTAAGCACCCAAATATCGCCTGTCTTTAAAAGATAAGAATTAAAATGGTGCTTAGAAAGATGGGAATGACTTTGTATCTCCTTTTTGGAGGAATAATTAAGTAACAGAAATCTGAGAGTTTAACCAACAACTTGTAATCCAGTGTACTAATCCCCACAGCATGCGTCCATCTGCTATCTCTTGATCTTTTCTCAGATTGCTAACGCCGCACATCCGAGACTGCTCCATTTGTACCACACCTGAGGCAGGACCGGTCTCCTCCCAGCCCTACACTCAAGTAACACAAACCACGAGCATAACTGTGACAGTAATACTAATAATTTGGGAATCAGTTGTGTTGGCAGGATATATGCCAGGGATGGTAAGAAATCTCCAAATGCTGAACCCCAAGGGATATGGAGTCTCTTTCCAGGGCTCCATGTCCACGCCAGGCAGGACCATGACTTTACCAGTCACCAGTGGGACTGTAAACTCTCTGAGCAACAGGATGGAGAACCCATGGCTATATCTCCACTGAAGATTTCCAGGTGTAGGTGTGCATCCTTATCTGACCCACACCTGGGCATGCCTCCACCCTCTCTCTACCTCCTTACACCTTGGAAAAGGAGGTGGACCACTACCTCATTTTTCAGCTGAGCATCACCACCTTCGTGAAGCCCACTTGACCACAGAGACCCCACAGGACAAGGGGAAGAGAGGAAACCCGTCCTCTGCTCCCATGGCTACTGCAGGCTAGTGCAGGCAGATGATCCTGCTGTTGGTCAAAGGCTGTGGATCC